GAGCACAGAGACCCTTCCCCTGGCAGGTTTAGGCTGGGCTTTGCTGGACCTGCCCCTGAGCTGGGCCTGGGGAGGTGCAGCTGAGCCAGGGGGATGTTCCACAGCCTTTGGAGCCTGGCCAGGGCTCCAGGGAGGAGGATGTTCAGCCAGGGAGCCTCCAACTGCCCAGTAAAGAGCTTTTCCCTTCCCTGTCCCTCTCCCTGTTCCCAAGGAAGGTCAGACTCGGTGGGTGCTCTCCCCTACCTGGAATGTCCCTGTGTGCCAGGAGGAGGCAGGTGCTCCCAGCAGGCATCTCCCAAGGTTTTCCCAGCTGTCCTCCAGAGGCTGAGCCCCCTGGATGCAGGGCTGGAGCCGTCCCAGGGAGCAGGTGGGAAATGTTTCCCAGCCTTTGGAGCCTGGACAGGGCCCGAGGGAGGAGGATGCTCGGAGCTGGTGACAACATGCCCAGGGACCATCTGCCCCCATGGGTGGGGATAATCCCAGAATTATGGAATACTCTGAGTTGGAAGGGACCTGCAAGGATCAAAGTCCAGCTCCTGGCCCTGAGGACACCCCAAAATCCCACCCTGGCCCTCAGAGCGTTGTCCAAACTCTCCCTGTGCTGTGACCAAACCCTGGGAACCCTGTTCCGTGCCCAACACCCCTCTGGATAAGGAGCCTTTCCCTGCTGTCCATCCCAGCCCCCCTGACCCAGCTCCAGCCGTTCCCTCAGCCCCCATAACCCAAGTCCAGACACCACAAACGCTCCCAACCCATTCCCAGCCCCGCAGGAGGAGGATTTCCCTTGGAAGCGCCGTCGGATCCGAGATTTCCTGGGCCAAGCTGCAGTTCCTGCTCTCTGGAAAGGTTAAAGCTCCACAAGCCAACAGGATTTGGGCCTTTGCTGGGACCTCCTGCTCCACACGCTCCCTGCATGGAATTGCTCTGGGTTTTGTCTCCAAAACACCTTCTGCCCCTTTCAACAGCCCCGAGCTGGAGCCCAAGGCCAATATTTATGCCTCAGATCTCCTTGATGATGCAATCCAGCAACAAATCACTCCTTAAATAATCCAGCCATTTAATCATCCAGAAATGTGTAGAAATAAGAGGATTAGCCTCTATCCTGGGGAATTGTGTTTTACAGGCTCCAGGGGTTTATTCCTAATAAAACAAGAGCAGCTCGTGGTATTTTCAGAATAAATCCAAGTGTCCCAAGCTCCAGGAGGAAAAGGGAGCTGGTGGGGCAGGAGGAGGAATCACCACCCAAAAGGCCCAGCTCAGTGATTGGTTCTTGCCTAAATCACAGGTTAAAAGGTAAATAAATAATGATGAATAAATGATTGATCACATGATGAATTGAAGTCTTTCCTGTCCACTCTCATGGATAGAAAAGGGCAGGGGGAAACTGGGGACCAGCTCCTGCCTTTCCCTGGGTGATCCACCTGTGCCAGGGCTATCCCTGCCTCTGGAAGTGTCCCTGGCAAGGGCAAAGGACAAACTCCTTTCCCTCAGAGCACAACTGTTGTTCCCCAACACCCTTTTACTCCTCTTTTTATAGCCCCCTGGTTCCCAACGAGACAATATAATTTTAGCAGGGCTGGATTATTTTTAACAGTGGCTGAGCTGCACATAAATCAAGGCAGACACAGAGACAAACGATTTCTGGGAATTAGGGAGCAGCTCCTTGGAAAGGCTCGTTGGTTATGTATCACTGCCCCAAGGAGGACAGACAGCAGCACTGCCAGGGGTGGCTGAGCTCGGGATCTGTCCTGGTTTTTAGGGATCAAGCCCAGCCTTTGGACATGGATGTTGCTGGGCTGCCACACACCAGCTGTTTTCGGGGAATCCTGGAATGCTTTGGGTTGGAAGGACCTTAAAACCACCTCCTTCCAGTGTAAAGGTTATTGCTGAAGACTCCTTCAGCTCACGCCCAGCCCAGAGGTCCCACTTGGAGGGAGTCCCCTGGATGGGGCTGGGAGGGGCTGGAGGTTATTCCAGCTTGGAGAACCCCGGGGCAGGAGGTGCTGCCACACCCTGGAGCCACAGCTCAGGCTCTGGAATAACCAGGATTGGGTTTAAGGGAGGAGACCAGAAAAGGGACTGGAAAACAAAAGAAGTTCACTGGGAGAAAGTGTGAAGGGGGAAATACTGATGAAAAGGTGGGTGTATAACACACATCCAGCAGTGGCTGTTCTCTCATTCCAGTCCATGTTTTAGGGGGGTCAATTCCTGCAAGGTGGAATCACTGAGAATGGAAAAGCCCTCCAAGGTCACTGAGTCCCCCCCGTGCCCCATCCCCACCCTGTCCCCCAGCCCAGAGCACTGAGTGCCACGGCCAGGCCTTCCTGGGACACCTCCAGGACTGGACACTCCAAACCTCCCTGGGCAGCCCCTGCCAAGGCCTGACCACCCTTTCCATGAGGAAATTCCTCCTCATGTCCAACCTGGCCCTTCCCCGAGGTCCCTGTCACACTGAGCAGAGCCCCAGGATCCTGGAGCCCCAGAATCCCAGATCCCGGAGCAGCAGCTCCAGGTGCCTGGATCCAGCCCAGCTCCCCCAGCCCAGTTCTGCTGGGTCAAAGCTCCACGTTCTGCCACCCAAAATCCCCCCATCCCCCTGAGCCAGAGATCTGGGCCATGCTTTGATCCCTCCCCAGGGAGCACAGAGGTTCCCAATCCCGAGGCCAGGCTGGAACAGCCGGAGCTGTGGGGTCGGAGCACAGGGGAGTGAAGCCCCCCCAGGGCCCAGAGCAAACAGGCTCCTGGGAATCAGCATTTTCCTGCCCCCCTGGAGCTCTCCTGGGGTCAGCAGCTCTCCCAGCCCCTTTTTATCCACACAGCACTTGGCAGGATGAGCTCAGCTAACCCAACAGGCTGCTGGGCTTCCATCCTCAGAATATGGAAGCCCTGGGAGAAGATTGGGATGCCCTGGACTCTCATGCCTTGTCTCCCCCTTTTCCACAGCAGGCCCTGGAGCAGCCCCAGCTGAGCTCCAGCTCTGCCCCAGCTCACCCTGTCTGTCATTCCAGGGCCATTCCTGCTCCTTATTCTCCTGCTGTTTGTTGCTCAGCAGAGTTGCAGCCAATTAATGCCAAGAACATCCAAGCAGCCCAGGGAACACAATCCAGAGCCATCCCCTCGTGCCAGCAGGAAACTCTGACAGAGCAGAGCTGGCAGGAGGATCCCACTGCACATCCAGCCTGGGGGGAGGAATTTGTTACCTCAAAAGGTAAACGTGGAGTCTGCTCTGGGCTCCTGCCTTGCCAAGGAGCCGAAGGATGAGGAAGAACAGTGAGATCCTTCCCTGGCTCCAGGCATCCACTGCCCCTCTGCTCTTCCAGTGGGGGATCCCCAGCCCTGGAGGTGCCCAGGGAAGGACAGGACATGGCACTCAGTGCTCTGGGCTGGGGGACAAGGTGGGCATTGGCTTTAATGTCCCTCCCAGCCCAACCCATTCCAGGATTCCATGAAGAAGGGACAGACTCCAGCCCAGCCCTGACCACGCTGCCACCTCCTCCCAGGGCTGGCAAGGACGGATCCTCCTCTCCAAGGTCTGTTTGCACTTGGGATTAACCTTTCTGAGGGGACAAAGTGGCTGCAGGAGGTGTTTGCTTTGGGCTCAAATCCTTTCGCCTCCACAAGCAGAAATTCCAGAACAAAGCTCTTGGAAACACAGAGTGTGAAACCAAAACATGGAGCTGGGAAAGGGCTGGGAAAGAAACGCTTTGGCCTCCCAGCAGGGATAGAAAAAGGAGCATTTTGAGGGCAAATTCAGCAGCTCACCTTGCTACATTCTGAGGGTAAATCTTTTCCATGCAAAGTTCTGAGCATCAGTTCCTTGTGTCTCCCAGGTTTCCTCTGGAACACTTCCAATATGACTGACAGGATGATGGAATCCAAATCAAAGAGATAATGTTTGCTTGTCATTAATAGATCCATTATTTAATCAATTTAAATGCCAGAAATAAGAGCCTTGTTTAAGTTCATTATTTCCATTGGTTATCCCTATCCCTGTCCCTGTCCTCCCACGGGCAGCAGCAAAAGGCAGGAAGGTGGGTGGCAGCAGGAAAACACTGCCCAGGTTCGGGGTATCCCAAGGAAAGGGGTCATTCCCTGGCCCAGGTCCGGGGCAAAGCCTCTCCCTGCGGGCAGAGAGGGATCCAGTCCAGCCGGGATGGTTATCCCACACCATCTAGTGGCACTCGGCAGAGCTGCTTCCCTGCGATCCAGAGCCTGTGGAGCTCATGGAATCACTTAGACCTTGGATAAGGCTCCACCTGCAGAGCTGCCTCCAGCCCTGGAGAACAGCACAGGGAGGACGTGGAGCTGCTGGAGAGAGTCCAGAGGAGGCCACGGAGATGCTGCCGGGGCTGGAGCCCCTCTGCTCTGGAGCCAGGCTGGGAGAGCTGGGGGGGTTCAAATGGAGAAGAGAAGGATCCAGGGAGACCTGAGAGCCCTTTGCAGGGCCTAAAGGGGCTCCAGGAGAGCTGGAGAGGGACTGGGGACAAGGGAGGGAGGGACAGGACACAGGGAATGGCTTCCCACTGCCAGAGGGCAGGGATAGATGGGATATTGGGAAGGAATTGCTGGCTGTGAGGGTGGGGAGGTCCTGGAATAGAATTCCCAGAGAAGCTGTGGCTGCCCCTGGATCCCTGGAAGTGTCCAAGGCCAGGTTGGACGGGGCTTGGAGCAACCTGGGCCGGTGGAAGGTGTCCCTGCCCAGGGCAGGAGGTGGGACTGGATGGGCTTTAAGGTCCCTTTCCATCCCAAACCATTCTGGGACTCTAAAATTACCTTATAACAAGGCAACCACTCCAGTTGGACCCAACTGCCCCAAAAGCAGTTTGCAGAGCTGCAAACAAAGTTGGCCAAACAACCTGGGGATCCAAGCACATTCCACCATTTCAGCTCCAGAATCATCCCCCAGAGTGCATCTCTTTGCCCAGGACACAGGCAGGGGCTGTGGGGCTCCCTCAGCCACTGCCCTAAACAACCACAACAGGGTCTGGAAGAGCATTTGGAATAAAAGGATATATTTGAACACATTTGCAGGGACACACAGAGAAAAGGTCTGAGCACAGCTGTGAGGAAATCCCCCTGTCCCTCCCCTCCAGGGAGTTCCTCACTGGCACAATGGGGGGGCTGATGCCAAGTCCCCACTGCTCACCTCAGGATTCCTGTTCCTGTCAACACTGACACCTTTCAAGGGGCTGGCTTACACATTAAATACTCAGAGGTCATTCTTTCAGGGAGAAATTCATATTCCCAAGCTGTTGCTGGTTAGGATAAAACAGGGAATGGCCTAAAAACACCCTTAAAGTGCAGCACTGCAGCTAAATCCATAGCAGCCTTTGGGCCTCCTCAGAAGAGAGGCCCTGAAGGGAGGGAGAGTGACCAGGAGAGATGGATCTGGGAGTGTGGAATGGAAAAGCTGGGAAAATCTGCAAGGCAGAAGCCTTGTGGCACAAGGCTGTAAAGATACAGCTCCATACATGAGGCAGAAGGTGTTTGGAATTCCAGAGGCACGTTGGCAGAACCGCCCTAAATCTATGGAAAATACACACATCCCTCTGGAGTTTCTTTGGGATCACAGGTATCACCCATGGAACCATTTCCCAGCACAGGCCACCCTAAAAACACCAGCCTGGAGTGAGGACAAAGCAGGGTCTGTGACATGTGACACCGGCAGCAGAGAATTCATCGGCCTGGGAAAATCCAGGAAAACTTCCAGCAGAAATTCAGGGCTTTCTTCGCCTAAAACAGGAAAGGAAAGAGCCACAAACAACTCTCAGAGTTCCCCCACAGCAGCTTTAGGAGCAGCCACCACCCAATTTCCCTGTTTTCGACACCTTTGAGCCTCACATCCCTCCTGCATTGTTACCAAATGCAACATTTAACCCCAGAAAGCTCCAGAAACACCTGTATTTTACTTTTTTGGGGAATGTAAAGCAAAGCCTTATTTCAATTATTTACAAGTTACAAGTCCAAGCTCCAAGCCCAACGCCCAGGAGAACTGGAGGGGTTACTACACCGTGCCAAGGCTGCAGCAAAGGCTCCCAGCAGCACGTCCTGCACAGTGGGGTGGCCCTGAGCTGGGCAGGGCACTCCCAGGGCACTGCCAGCACCACCTGCAAGAGGCCACAGCCCATGTTGAGCCCGCCCTGCAAGCCCTGGGTTAACTAAACTGCCTCCACTTTAGGCAGGGAAGGGTTGGGTTACATCTGGGGCTCAAATGGTGGCCCCAGCCTTGGGGACTGGGGGATTATTTGGATTTGTGCTGGAAATGTGGTAACCCTGCAGTGACATGTGTGACTGCCACTGATGCCACCACACCCCAGAACAGCCTGAGCTCTCCAGGGCTGTTCCATTCTCTGACAATTTGGAAAACAGGGAAGTTCCCCCCAGCGTGATTAGAGCCCGTGGTTCCTTAGTTGGGGGCCTCAGGAATCACACAGCTGGAATTTTTTTAGCCATGGTCAGGAACACCACTGGGAATGGCCCCCTCAGTTCCCTGCTCTCCAGGCCACACTGAATTGGAAATTTGGTAAATTTAAATTTCTCTAAGGATAAAATGAGTGTTCTTTGCTGCATCAGCCTCTGCTAAAGGCTGCAGGGACAGGAGAGGGAATGCAGGGAGTTCTCCCTGCCATCCCTAACCCTAATCCAGTTGGGAATCCAAGCCTGAAGTGGGAAGGGCAGCGAGGTCAGGGAGAAAGAAAAGTTCCCTAATTTTAGGAGTTATCAGGAAAGGGAATGAGCCTCCCAGGAGCACTTACTTGGGCTGAGCATGGTGCTGATATCCAGGTCCAAGTGCTGATCCCGCCCTCATCTCCACTGCCACGGAACACTGGGAACACACACCAGTCAGGCTCTGCTGCTCCCACCACCCCCAGCTCAGCATCAGCCCAAATTCTCATCCAGGCTGTGGACTCCCCAACCCTGGAATGTTCCAGGCCAGGTTGGATAGGGCTTGGAGCAACCTGGGCTAGTGGAAGGTGTCCCAGCCCACAGACACCATCCCAGGGGGAACAGGATGAGCTTTAAGGTCCCTTCCAACCCAACCCATTCCAGATCCCATGGCCATGAGATGTTCCCCTTTTCCCTTTTGTCTTACTCTGGTTTCCACATCAGTCCATTCTGAGTCTGCAGCCTCTCCAAGGGGGTCAGGTTGGGAAGGGGACGAGCGTCGCTTCCGCCTGGAACAGGAACGTGTGGGAAGAGCACAAAGACCCTGTGACTGGGCAGATCCTGGTGCACAGGAGAGCACATTTCATACTGCCCAAATAAATCTTTGCCCTCAGCAGCAAACCAGCCTTAAAAGCACCTTCAGCATCCAGAGCCTCCAAGTTACATTTGTATGATTTCAGGCTGGAAGCAACGACTTCCCGTTGGATCGCTGGGACCAAAAGTGGTTCCATGTGCACTCCTGGAGTTCCACACCCCCAGAACCCAAAATGAAAGGCCCAACTCACCCCGTGGGAGATTCCTGCTTCAGGGTCTCGATGTCAGTGAACTGCACAGCCTGGCCACCACCCCTGGTTTTGAAAACATCCCCCTGGAACCCAGAGCAGAGACAAGGAACTGTCAGGTCAGCAGGGCAAGATTCACCTCGTCCCCCAGCCCAGAGCACTGAGTGCCACAGCCAGGCCTTCCTTAGACACCTCCAGGGATGGGGACTCCATCACCTCCAATGCCTGACAGGAAGAAATCCTTCCTGAAATGCCCTTTCCAGGAAGGAAATCCTTCCTGAACTTCTGAAGGAAAATGGTGAGATAAACAAGCCTATCATGGTTTACAGGAAGCAACAACAAAGCTCAAGGAGAGGACTTTCAGCCCCCTCAAATCCCAGTGTAAAGGAGTTTCAAACCAACTCTTAGTGGGTCGAGTCCAACATTCCCTTCCCCAAAGCCTGCAGGACAAGCTGCCAGGAAGAGGTTTTGGCCGAGCTGCCGAGGAAGGAGCCGCCTCACCTTGATGAGTTTGGTCTCGATCTCGCCGTCGGAGGCCAACTCCTGGTGTGTCAGCATGTACTTGTCACACTTGGCCAGGGCCTTCTCGCTGGCCGTGGCCACGGTGATGGCGTGGGGCACGTGGGGCTGCAGCACCGTCTCCGTGGGCACGTTGGAGGGGGGTTTGTGGTCCACCCAGCGCTCCCCGGCTGAGCGCGAGCGGCGGTGCCGGAGCCGCACGGGAGGCGCGTTCTGGAGAGAGGCAGGAAAAGTCAGGACCCAGGAAATCACAGGGGGAACCCGCAGCTCTGTGCCCAAAGTGCCCTCTGGTTGTACCCTGGAAGGCTCCGAGAGCCTGGCAGGAAGTATAATGGAATATTTTGTGCCAATTACTATTTCGTGGGAATTTTAGCATTGTCGCATCCCACATTTATTAAAGTTTCCTCGAGGAGGAAATCTATGTTTGGCAATCTCCTCCCAGATTTCCATCACCAGCTGGTCAAAGGAGGGCCTTGTCCCGCTCTGTCCACCCTGGGACAGCTCCCCAGGGAAATGGGCACAGCTCCAAACCTGCCAGAGCTCCAGGAGTGTTTGGATGACACTCCCAGGCACAGGCTGGGATTGTTGGGATCCTGTGCAGGGCCTGGAGTTGGACTGGATGATCCTGATGGATCCCCTCCAACTCAGGATATTCTAGGATTTATGAATATCTTAACCAACCAGAAAAGAGGAATTTGTGCCTCCATGGATTCATTCATGATCCCAAATGCAATTTGGAGGTAGCAAAGCAAGCAAATCCATCCTCACTACGGATTCCCAACGCCTCTGAAGGATGCAAGGGGATGGATTCCCAACGCCTGTGAAGGATGCAAGGGGATGGATTCCCAACACCTGTGAAGGATGCAAGGCCTCCCAGCACTCCTGGGTACAAGGAGCACAGGAAACATTCCCTGTGCTACTGCTCCAAACTGAGCTGTTGGAAATCCATGGGAATGGCTGAAGCTCATCTACTGCATTTCAGGAACACGAGAATTGTTGGCAGATGCTCGGGAAAATCAGAACAACCTCTTGGAATGGCCTTTTGAAAGAGGATTTGCAGAGTCTGTGCCATTTACACGGTAATTTTGGAGGCCTCCCAATCCTTACACAACCCAAAGCCATGGATGCAAATCCCACCTGCTGGGTTTTCAGATGAGCAACCACCACACATTCTTTGACTGTGCCCCACGCAGATAAACCTCTTACAGGTCTAAAGCACCTCTTAAAACTTAAACATATACAGGGAAATGTGGCTTTCAGCAAAAATCTCCCATTAAAACAAATACAAATAAATGAAGAATTGGAATAATTTGGGAGAAGTTTGGGAACGCTCTCAGAAATGAATGATGCCGTGATAAACTTGTACAGCTCTCTCAGATTTACCTGAGCCACAGTGACAGTGCCATGAGGTGCCACCACTGATAAGCATTGACAGGCAGCAGTTTGGGGGAAATCCCTGTAATCAGAGCCCCCCCATGGAAATGAGGGAAGAGTCTTGTAAGAGAGTCCAAGTGGAGTCACAGGTGGGATGTTTATCCAAGCACTATTTCCAGACCACCTTAAGCTGCCCAGACAGGCCTTGGCAAATGCAGGAGGATGGACTGGAGGAGACAGACACAAGGGAAAGCACAGGGACACTCAGAGCTCGAGGCAGGGCCTGGCCAGGCCAGACTAAACACACCTTCAAGTTCTGAGGAGGATCTAAACCCCAAGAGGTCCGAGTGAGCAGCCAGGCTCAGTCTGGGAACAGCCCATCCCGGGAGAAACACAGCCAGGGCAAAGCTCTACTCTACGTTAGGAATGCTCAAGGGAGGAGAACTTTAAAGCCAGACTAAGCCACTCTAGGTTGAGCTTTGGAAGGAGCAGCACTAACCCTGCAGCAGTGATCCTCTTCTATCTCTAGCTCCTCTCTATGCCTGGGCACCTCAAGGACTCCAGTCCAGCACATCCCTCGCCTTCTGTGGGAGCTGTTACAGCCTCTACTCGGCTCTGGCTCTTGTTTAGTCCTGGCATAAGAAGTGCTCTGCTTGTGTGAAGGGGTTTTCTGCTCCCACTCCAGGACACAGGAGGCCACAGAAATGCTGCTACAGGAGTTAGAACGTCTGGGCCCCTGCGGGGGGCTGGCGAGGCGCTGGCTGTGCCCCCCCTGAGCAAAGGGACTAGAGCTCTGCAGAGAAGGGGAGAGGAGTTAGTGAACACAAACACACACAGTGGAACTCATACAGCAACGAACAGGGAATCCTGACAATGTGCAGAGGGAAAACTCAGCTGGATGAGTGCAGTGTTGCAGTGACAGCAGACTCAGGTGCTCTCTCAGTGGAGCAGCAGTAGGAGGTGGGAGCACAAGTGAACAAGGGACACAAGGAATGCAAAGGCAGTTTCAGCTACTCACAATTCTGTGCCTGGGAACTACTTTTTAACCTGCACTTCATCCTTAAAATATGCTTTTCCCTACGTCAATCAGTGTTTGGAGGTGACTTACAGGCACTGGGGGAGGAGACAGTGATCTCTGCACAGCCTTCTCTCGGTCCCTCTCCCTCGAGGGCCTCTCTGGCTTCTCCTTGGGCTCAGTGACAATGGCCTTCAGCTGCTTCAGCTTCTCATCCTTCACCCAGAGCTTGTTCTGCATTTCCAGCTGCTTTGCTGCCACACGACGCTCCTGCAAGGACAAGGCAGGGAAAGCATCAAGTACCTCACAGGAAAACACGGAATCACTGGGGTTGGAAAAGACCTCCAAGGCCATCGAGTCCAACCTGTGACTGATCCTTACCAGTCCAGTCGTTCCTCAGACACCTGCAGGGGTGGGGACTCCACCACCTCCCTGGGCAGCCCCTTCCAGTGCCTGACAGCCCTTTCCAGGAAGAAATTCCTCCTGATGTCCAACCTGAACCTCCCCTGGCACAGCCTGAGGCCTCTTGTCCTCTCCTCCTGCCCCTTGTTCCCTGGGAGCAGAGCCCGACTCGCCCCCAGCTCCCCCCTCCTGTCAGGGAGTTGCAGAGCCAGAAGGTCCCCCCTTAAAAGTTCCCCCAGGTTAAACTGTGCTGGGATTTTGCAGGGAATTCTCTATGGAATGAATATCTTCCCCACTGAGACACAAGCTATTGGAAATAATGCCTTGTCAATGTAAAGAAAGACTTTCCAGATTATAAAGCAACACCACATTTAACACCATAATTATCTGCTTTCCTAAATTACAGCAGATGGGAACACACCCAATTAGAGTTCCATCAATGATCCTCAAGTAGCAAACAGTCCTGCAGTAGTAAAAGTTAATTCCTCAGCTTTCCTCTCCTTATTGCTTGTCCAGGGCAGAGCTGAGCAAGAGAACTTCCACAAGGAAAAAGAGGAAATTCTGACACTTCTACAAGAGAACCACTCCCTAAGGGTGGCCCAAGCCCAAAGGAAGAGATTCCAGCTATTGGAATGTGCACATACTACATCTCTAGAAGTGAAGTGGATGCAGCAGAGCACTTACACACTCCTTCTCCCATTTCATGGTGGTCTCTGCCACCATCCCCTGCAGCCTGGCCTCCAACCTCCTCTTGTCCGACGCCTGACGCTGCAGCTTCTGGCTCTTGCTTTCCAGTTCCTGCTGAAGATTCCTCTTGTCCTCCTCATAAATTGTGGCAGTTTTCTCCAAAATGTCAATCTGCAGGAAGACAGGAAGGATTTGGATACACTTCTTAGGAACACAACCATCTAAGCCCTGAATTGCCAGTTATATGACCGTAAATATACATTTTAAATTACACATTGCCCATCTTCACATACTAAAAAGGGCAAAAAAGTGTTCAGTGAAGTTCCCCACAAAATCCTTTTTATCTTGTTTCCAATACCCAGCAACTTCTGATGTCACAGGACTTGCCAAGGGGTACATAAAAAATGTGGTTTGTGCTTGAAAATGCCCAACCTGACCTTGTATTCCAAGGTTTTAATCTTCTTCTCCAGGCGTTCCAGCTCCGTTCTCTGCCCTGCTATTACTTTCTCCTTCTCAGACAGTTTTCCTTGGATATAGTGTTCCTTGGATACGACACTGGAGTCAAACTCCTGCAGCATTGTTTTAAAGGCAAGCACTGGAAGAGAATGGAGACATTTCACCTTCTCACCTGATCCCAACAACACCCAAAGCACTTCTGCTTTTCTCCTGCCAACTTAAAGCCACCAGCTCTTTAATGACCTCAAAAAAAGGGGGAAATGATCAATCCAGACAAGATAATTATTTCCTGTTGGTACAGAAGGGAGCCTGGAGGAGTAACAAGGGCACCAAAAATCAAGCTCTGCACTGATGTTCAAATTCTTACCGTTTTTGGCAAACTCCTCTGACAGCATCTGCCTCATTTTCTGGCGCTGCTCCAGGGCCTCGATGAGCTTGGGAAGGGTTTGATCATCGTTGATGTCCAAGAGCTCACACGAGGGCAACGGGGGGAAGTTCTGCAAAAGCATTTCTGCCACGGATTGCTCTTCTGTTTCTGCAGGATTTAAAGGCAAGAAAGAAAGTCTGTCAGCAAGTTACAGGACAGGAAAATTCCAATGGATAACACACACACAGAGCATTCACTCCGCAGGATCATGGGAATAATTAAGGAGAGCTATAGGTTTTCAGAAGAGCTGACAGTGCTGAGTGAAGATTTAATGTGTCATTCTCAATTCATTGCTTTACAAAACCTCCAGGCAACTCTGGATTTCCAAAGCAGGCCCTAAACATGTAGAAACATCAAAGTATCGTCCTCAGCACAATTTGCTTCCAGGAGCTGCAATACTGGGACCATGGAGTCATCCCCAGTAACAAAGGATTCATTTAGACTCACACAGTGCCTGTGTTTGTACTGCAGGCAGTGAGGAAGGAGCAGCTCCCACTGCACAGAGAGCTCTCAAACCAACAGGCCACTGAAGCTCCTTTTGCACTTTCCAGGCTCAAATAATTTGTTTTAAAACAGCTTGTAACTCCTAACACAAAACTGTGCTGTAACCATGGAATCATGGAATGGTTTGGGTTGGAAGGGATCTAAAAAATGATGCAGTGCCACCCCCTGCCCTGGGCAGGGACACCTTCCCCTAGCCCAGGTTGCTCCAAGCCCTGTCCAACCTGGCCTTGGACACTTCCAGGGATCCAGGGGCAGCCACAGCTTCTCTGGGAAACCTGTGCCAGGGCCTTCTCACCCTCCCAGGGAAGGATTTCTCCCCAATATCCCATCTAACCCTGTCCTGTGTCAGTGGGAAGCCATTCCCTGTGTCCTGTCCCTCCATCCCTTGTCCCCAGTCCCTCTCCAGCTCTCCTGGAGCCCCTTTAGGCCCTGAGAGGGGCTCTCAGGTCTCCCTGGAGCCTTCTCTCCTCCAGGTGAGCCCCTCCAGCTCTCCCAGCCTGCCCCATCTGTGCAGTACTCACCCCCAGCAAGGGGCCCCCCCCTCATCTCCAGTTTCCTGGCCAGCTCCTCACGGAAGGCCTGGTTGCGGAAGCGCCGGCCGGGGGTGAGCCCGCACAGGGGTCTGTCCACGGGCCTGGCCACCTCCACCTCCTGGGTCATCTCTGCAAAGCGCATCACCTGCTGCAGGGACGGGAGAGAGCCACAGAACACCTCAGAGGGACACTCACAGGGGGGTCAGGCAATGAAATACGAGAGGACACGATCCAGCTCTAACCTCCAGTAGTTCCCGACTTGGGATTCTGATGTGGAGCACCCCAAAGCCTTCCCAGGAACACCCCCAGAGCTCCAGCCCCGAGGAGCCATGAACCCTTGTGCAGACAGCTCAGATTCCTGTAAGTGCTGCCATAGCAGGGATTAAGCACCTAAATATGGCTCTTTGGAATTCTCTAAATAAGTAAAAACCTTTCCTTCTTCACAAGCAAGTAGCAGTTGTAATTTTAAGAGGAAAAATAAGATTTTACCCTACAAAATTATAACAAAAAAAAATAATTCCTTTTATCTATTCAAGCACAATTGAGTGGGAAAGGTGAAGAAAGGAGCAGGAGGGACTGCACTAAGCTGTGCAGGGGGGTTACCAGGCTCTCCTCATAGTCCTCAGCTTTGGGGTTGACACACACGATCATCCGGACCTTCCCTTCTCCATCAAAATAGTTCTTGAAGAGATGAGTCAGTTTGGAATCTCTGTATGGAACCATCTGAAAATCAAGCACAGGAAGGATTTAGCAAGTTTTCAGCACTCCAGGTCTTCCTCAAAGGACAGGATGATGGGATGAGGGTTCCACACCTTGTTTGTCCCGTACAACTGGTTTTCCCGCAGAACTTCGATGCAGGTTCTCAACGTCATCAGTGACTGGTTGATGTTACCTTAAAAAAAACCCAAAGGCAGAGCAAAAAACTCCATAAGCAGCCACTTGGATCAGGTTCCCAAATTATTTAGCAGTTTCTTGAAGGATAAATTGCCTGCCTTCAGTTCTGTTTGTTCCAGATAACTGCTCCAATTAACTGAAGGAGCAGAAGTGCTACTGAAAACTTGTGGTTTCCAAACCAGAGGGTTTCAGGTCATCAAATCAGATAATTGATCATCATAACAGAGCACTTCAGTTCTCCCTGGGATGTCTCTACCAGGAGACAAGACTAATGGCAGCATAATTAGCACAGCAATCACCAGGGTGCCTAAAGGTGGTTCCCACCTGCTTCTCGCAGCCTGTTCCCCTCGGCTTTTGTCCTGTTGGTTCTCTCACTTCCAGCCAGATCCACCAAGGACAGCTGGCTCAGAGTGATCTGTTCCTTCTCCTGCCACAGGAAACAAAGGATAATCACCTCCAGAGTCCTTCTGAAAGGGTGGGGGGAACACCCCACCCCCCAAAGCAGCATGAACATTTCAAAATAATACACGTTGAGCCCTTAAATAAGGTCGGGGGTGTTTTTACAGCCCAAGGCCTGGGCACCACCAGCTTTTCTTGGGAAGCTTAGCAGCTCCCTTGTGTCCTGGCCCACAGGATGGGTATAACAACTGCCCTCATCCAAATTCTCCAAATTTTACATTTCTAACAAAGGAAAAGGTGAAAACCAAAGGAATCAGCAGCTCCACCCTCCATGTGGGAGTTGGACTCGTTGATCCTCGTGGGTCCTTCCCAACTCAGCAGAGTCTGTGATTTTAAGGCCTTATTTTCAGCACAAAAAGGAGATTAATTCTGTCCCCTGGAAATTTAAGACACAGGAACCATTTCCAAGGTTCAGCACCTTTCCCTCCCCCCCCCCCAGAGTTCTCCTGGGCTCAGCTGCTCTGAGCTCACCTGCAGGACGTTGTCTCCATCGGCGTCCAGCGGGGCCTGAGCCAGTTTGATGATGAAGACGCTGTGGGAGCGGCTGGACTCGCGGTTCAGCTGCGTGTTGGCAATGCGCCGCTTCTTCTGACCTGCAGGGCAGCACACAGCCCACAAAACAGGGATTTGGGAAACAGAATTCCCACCTGGCAAAGCCAGCTCTGCTCCCAGCACCACAGCGGGAAGGACTTGCCAGCTGCCGAAGGAAAGGCCTTAGGGGGAAGGAGGGAAGGGTTCCGTGGGACATTGGGAAGGAATTCTTTACTGGAAGGGTGGTGGGGCACAGGTGCCCAGGTGAGGCAAAGGTGCCCAGGTGAGGCACAGGTGCCCAGGGAGCTTGTGGGTTCCACATTCCTGGGAGTGCTCAAAGCCAGGGTGGACAGGGCTTGGAGCAACCCGGTCTAGTTGGGAGGCTGTGGACTCCACATTCCCAGAAGTGTCCAAGGCCAGGCTGGACGGGACTTAGAGCAGCCTGGTCGAGTGGAAGGTGTCCAGCTGGAACTGGACAATATTTAAGCTCCTTCCAACCCAAACCATTCCAGGATTCTGTGACCTGCACCGAATTCTGGAGGATTTACCTCTCCAAAACACTTCAAAAGCTTCCTCTGTGGACTTCACCTCCACCTCCGTGCAGCCCGTGACGTACATGTTGTGGTTCTGGTCCTCCCGAAGCATTTTGGACTGGGGAGGTCTTTGGGACAAGGAGGAAATAAAACAGACAAAAAACCCCCCCCATTAGAACAGTTTTCTGTACATCATTGGCATGCAAGTTGTGTTCAAGTGCAAAATTCAGAGTGACTACGTGGATTATCTGCACAGAGGATGGAAGAGGAGACACAAGGACACGGACACAGACCCAGCCCAGATTAGTGACACTTCAGCTACTGCTTTAATTGAGCAGCTACGTTTAATTGCAATTTCTGCTGGGAATCATTGCTGTGGTGGCAGCTACTGCTTTTCTACATGCACACAGAAGCAAGGGGGCTTTGACAGCACTCAGTATTTGCTAGTAAAGCAAGAAGAGACAAGGGATCAGTCTATTTTCTGCTTCTACTGAAGGAAAGTGGCACTTTTTGAGATGGCAATAATAGGCTGTGCACATACATAAAGTCTCCATTTCGCACAGGGGTGTTGCAATTGTTCCACCTACCGAAAAAACAGGGGTAAAAACATTAAGTCATTCAAGTTTGTGTCTAAAATCTCTCCACATACAACACACTGCAGCTTCCAGAAAGAGAAACAAGCCAAGAGTCTTCCTAGGCTGGTTTTTGGGCAGAAGCACAACACTAAACCAATGTCATTGTTTCCAAAGCCTTCACAGACATTCAAACCCTTTTCAGACCAGTGCCCTGGAGACAGCTCTTGATGTCTGAGAGACACAGCCTGCTTTGCTCGAGCTGGTCTTTGTAAATCAGCCAACTCTTTAATTAACACATGTGCTGATGGGCTACTTGAATGGATTTAGAATTTAAATAAATGTATTCAAAGGCCAATTTGCAGATAGTTTTTTCCTGCTGGTGTCAAGATTTACCAATTTTAGACGTCAGCCAAGTCTGCATACCTTTGCAGAAATATCCATCATTTCAATTAGGAGACAATTCACTGCTGGTTTTTGGGAATTACTGCCATCAGGTGAAATCTTATGCAAATGTGAATTAACTACGGAGCAACAAAGCAGCACTTCTCACCCAGGACACTGTTTCCAGGGGAAAAAAGGTCAGCTGTGGAATGCCTTGCTCCAAGCTGCAGTCACCTGCTAGAACCGTGCTCAGAAGAGCAGGACTAGATTTGGGATCTCAGTGGGACACCAAATGAAATATTTAAATATCCATCTCCCACTGTAACAGGGAAGGGAGCACCGAGTCACAACGAGCATCAGTACTTGGCACACTGAAATATTCCTGTCTGGATTCCTTTGCCATCACCTGTCCACGGGATTTTTTTAAGGATTCTTGTGACTTGAGCCAGACTCACCAAGACTAAAACCACAAAGACCTGGTGGAGCTCCTGCAAAAGCCCAACAGGAGCAGGAATAGCAGGATTCCCAAACTCACTTGGGTTTGATGGGCTCAAAGGGAGCCTCCTCCAGGAGGTCGTAGATGTAGTTGTTGTAGATCTCGATGTAGGACACAAAGACACTGTAGACATTGTCCTCATCCACCTCCTCCACCTTGCAGTGCTCCTGCACGTTGATCATGTCGGCAAACTCGGGGTCCAGGTGGCGCCTGTGGACACAGGGAATGATGTGGGAGCCCCTGGAGCTGTGCACGTACCTCTGAGCACTGGGGCATGGAAATGCTCCATAGCTGCCAAAATACTGGGATTCCTGGGCTGGCCTGGGCAGGGCCAGCAGCTGGACTGCCATGAGCCTTGGGGGCCCCTTCCAGCTCAGGATATTGTGTGATTCCAGGAAAACATCTCCAAGTTGAACTTCATGGTGCTCCTGCTCAAAGTCACAGCATTGAACTCATGAAAATAAACTTCTCTTGCCTGATTCTAAGTCTTCTAATCTAAATAATTACGTTAATTGCTCCAACCCCATGAAATGCACTCACTTTCCATTAATATTTTATTAATTAATAGGAATATTATTAGGAATATATATTAATCAATATATTAAATTAATACTTACGAATACATTAATAATATTATTAACATCATTACTGTTATGAAAAAATAAATAATTAATATTTAATTAATGATATTAATAATTAATACTATTAATTAATAGGAATATTAAGCAATAGGGGTTGGAACAAGATGATCTTTAAGATCCCTTCCAACCCAAACCATCCCAGGATCCTAGGATTTTTCTTTAATTTCTCCAAGGGAAGGATAAAAACCTCCAGATGAGTTAAAACCAGACTAACAGAATAACATTTATAGTAAATAAATTCCCTCTGAGTGTTGCAACAGTCACTTACTTCCCAGATGGAGTTTTTGGGACAGGCAGGGCATCTCTCCTCTGCCGCTCTAACAGAGCATCAACCTCACTCTGAACATCCACCCCGTTCTTGTCATCCAGCTTAAAAACCTGGCAGGAAGTTTGGACAATTAAAAAAAAATAATTAAGGTGTTGACCAACAAAACTAATTATTTGATCAAGCTGGCAACTAATTAGTTTGAATTAATTCCATGCCCCTCACTAGCACTCAGCCTGCCAAGTGGATCTGGCAGAAAACAGGTATTTCCAAAATAACAACATTTCATAAATGCTCCCAAGGAAGAGGCTTCCAGGACTGTTTAAGTACATTTAGATACTAAAAATCCACAGAAGTTTGCCCAGGAGAAAAGCCTCACATCTCTGTGAATTGGTCTGTGCTCTGGTCTAGTTGACAAAGGTGTTCAGTCCAAGGCTGGACTCCTGATCCTGGAGGTCTTTTCCAACCTCAACGATTCTGTGATTGTGGATAAGGTTTCCTGAGGCTTTTGGATCTCGTGGCTAAATCTCACTCCATAAATCAGAAAGCTTCCTCTTCCTTTTTTTCTTGTTTTTAAATCAAGGGATGAGGAGCAGCTGAAGGACAGGCAGACCACACATCTTCACGAGATGTCCATCCCAGCCCCCTCCCTGGCCCTGCTGCTCAGACCTCGAGGGGGTGGGTTGGTTTGGGTTGGTTTCTCAGTCACAGATCTATTTTGCAGACAGCCCTTATCTGGTGCTTTGGGGCTGTCACTGCAGCAGGGGGGAGGATTCAGGGTGAAGCCACTCACGAATCTCTTGGCCTGGAAGGGCCCGATGCTGTTGAAGATCATGTCCAGGCAGCGTGGGAGGAGCCCTCCATCCCCAGGAGATCCCGTCATGGTGTGGGTCTTCCCACTGCCTGTCACTCCATAGGTGAAGAGGAGACCTGGGAAAGGTGTGGAATCAAATGGATTTGGGGAAAAAAACACAGTGGCTCCTTTTGAAGAGTCAGGGATTCCAGCCCACCAGCAGTGTTTGCAGCTCTCCCTGATCAGCACGACTGGAATTATCCACCATCCTCTCTGGGACAGGGCACTTGGAAGCCAAAAATGGGGCATTACTGAGGAGTCTGACCCACAGCAGGCACTGTGGTATCTCTGTGAGGGTGGAGAGGCCCTGGCACAGGTTGCCCAGAGAAGCTGTGGCTGCCCCTGGATCCCTGGAAGTGTCCAAGGCCAGGCTGGATGAACTTGGAGCAACCTGGGCTAGTGGAAGGTGTCCCTGCCCAGGGCAGGAGGTGGTACTGAATGGGCTTTGAGGTCCCTTCCAACCCAAACCATTCCAGGATTCTGTGCCCACACCAAGCCCAGGAGATCAAACCCCACAAACTGATTTCTGCAGTCACTCCTTAGGTGGACAATCCATCCCTTCCCACAGAGAAAAAAAAGCTTCTCCTGTTCATCTTGCACTAAAATCTTAGACCTTGACACACCTAACATGCAAATCATCACAAAAATAAATAGGTTTAGACATGAGAGCTTCCAAGGATGTTGTGTGAGGAGCTGAGCCACAATTCCAAAGCAAACAAGATGTACCTTTTTACCTTGAGAAGACAAGAAACCTCGAGAGCCACGAAATCATGGCCAGGAGGGTGGCAGAGGAGTGGCACAGGCCAGCAGTTGCTCACCATTTTTGCCCCGGATCAGATCTTCCACCAGAGGTTTGGCCACCACGTCAAAGAGCTCCTTCTGAACGCCAAGGGTGCCAAACACTTCCTTAAAGGAATACTGGGTCTGCCAAGAGAGGAGACACGGCCTGAACCTTCAGCTTCCACGGCCAGGAATCCATTGCTTCCAAACATCCACGGGTTACACCTTAGGACACTCCCCACAGCTCAGCAGAACGATTAAACTCGGCTTCAGGACTAAGCCAGGGTTTGAACATGGGTTGCTCATTTTTCCATTGAAACACTTTCTCAGGTAAATATCTGAATTTTAAGTTTTTGAGCAAAGGTTTATCAAACTTTTAATTAACCTTTGCCTCCTTCATTTAAGCCTTAGGAGATCACTTTATACCTTTGTTATAAGAACTTGCCAGACTATTCTACATCCCACCCAACATGCCTGCCCAGAGAAGCTCTGTATTCTCCATCCCTGGAAGTGTCCAAGGCCAGGTTGGACGGGGCTTGGAACAACCTGGGCTAGTGGAAGGTGTCCCTGC